GAAAGCCCTGGGTTTTAGCCCCCTAATAAAAATGAGTGAACATCTTTAACCCAGAAAGACTAGTCAGCTTCCCAAAGCTCAATTCGCTGGAGTTTCCTCCTCACTCAACAAGAGTAAATTTATTCTGTTACATCTGGATACAGAAGAGGAGCAACCAAACAGGGATGCTTCGGGGTTATGACTACAATCCCAAGGATTTCAGTGTTTTTGTGAAGATGTTACAGGGCTGGCAGTCTAGCCCGATACCTGTGAAATCTCTCCCACAGCCTGCCTAGTTTATGCTACAGATTACATACTGCTGATGTGTTTATTGTCTTTGAAATGTTACTCTGCAATGTACAATACTGGCAAAGGCGGAATGGACCTCTCCTCTACATGTTTAGTTACCATGGTGCAATTCAAACACACAAATCCAAACAGCAACCAAAGCAAAAAGTACAGCACAAGAAATGGCAGCACAAAAGGATAACTAGACAATTCAAGGCAGTCATGCTTCAGGCCATGCAAATTAAATATATAAAGCAAGTCAGTTCAGTTACACTTGCTCTTTGCTCACACAAAGGAAATCAGGAGCCAGATATAACCGTGTACTCATTTTTTTCCCTGTACTCAAAAATGTTAAGCACAAAGCCTTTCTACCCTGAATATATGGTTGCATATTTGGGCAAATTTTCAGAAATGAAGTAAAATGACATTTTCATTCATTGCACCAGGCAAGATGTAGAGTACTTAGTTGAACCCTTTTTCTGAGTAGATATCAAACAGAAAAATAGATTTCTTTCGTCAGTCAGATTCCCAACTGTCCATCTTCTTCCTTGTGTGACTTCCACAACTGAAGACTCCGGATAGCACCCCCATGGTATCCTTTTCAAGAAACTTGTTATTATTGTGTGCTTTCAAGTAATTTCCATCTTGCAGTGACTATATGGCAGCCCTGTCACAAGGTTTTCTTGGCAAGAATTGTTCAGAGGGCTTGCCATTGGCTTTGTCTGAGGTTGAGAGTGTGTGTTTTGTCCAAGGTTACCCAATTGATTTCTATGGCTTAGTGGGGATTTGAAACTTGGTCTCCAGAACTGTATTCATTAATGCTCAAATGACACAAAACACTGTGGGTTCTTGAAATTCTTGACACAAGACTATTCTCCAAATTCTTAACTTTAAAAGGGTGTCTGCCAACAAATACCAGATCTCTCTCAAGTCTATTACATTCATTTCAAGAGGGTTTGCATCTATACAATTATTTGAGGATTTATCTCTTTAAAATGAAAATGTTTAAGAAAAACTTTTAATTACTACAGGCCTAAAGAATAAATGAGGAAATGGGATTTATCTTTGCAAATAAAAGAAACACCCTTCTCTCCAGAGAATTATTCCTTTTCATGTTTTGTGAAATGTGACATTGCGTTTCAAAATAGTGTGTAATGACAATGTCTTCTCAATGTCGTCTCTGCTTGAAGTCCCAGGAAGGAACTTAGAAAGTGATTTGTTTTCATATATCATGTTGCTCTTTTGCCAACTACAGATGACTTTTCATCATACATGCAAATTTCCATCCTTAACCGTTTCACTTTGATGAGATGTTTTCTATTATACATTTGAAGTGAAGGATCACTATTTAACATGAATAATTGTATGCACACATGCGGACACACACAGATACAATCAGATATATCGTGTGTCGCTTCCTCACCAAAAAATATCTCCTGGAAGTGTTCTTTATTATAAGGGAAATTCTTTATTTACGGGACAAAAATATTGTTCCTTATACTGCTGGCAGATGTTCCTTATTAGACGAAATCTCCTCTGTTTCAGGCTCAGAAAGCTTGCCCTTTTCAATAGACTGAACAAGATGCCTCATTTTATATGTGAGTGGGGACAAGTGATATATTTATAGAGAAACACATGACTAAGTGAACTGAAATCAATACTTCCATTTGGTATTTAAGCAAAAAGACAAACTTATTAACAGCTGGTTCCTGGCTATCATCCATGCAAGTAATGAATTTCAATTTCTCCTTATTATTAATTTGAAAATTGGACAAACTACATGGGAAGTAATTTTTCTACCAAAGCTGATGAAAAGAAAAATTCAAGTTGGAAAAGGCATGATCAGATATGGTACCAGTCTGTAGATATAAGCAAATAAAAAAGACAAGAAGCTGATCAATACATAATTTATTCCAGAGATATATCAAGAGAAGATATTTTAACACAACTAAAATGTTCAAGAGAATCAGTATGGTATAATGATTTGAATGTTGGGCTATGATTCTGGAAACCAAGATTTCATTCTCAACCTGGCCATGAGAAGTCCCTGGGTAGCCTAAGGCACATCACATACTTTCAGCACGAAAATCCCATGTTAGGGTCACCTTAGGGTCTCCATAAGTCAAAAAAGGCATGAAGGCACACAGCAACAGAAAGAACAACAACAAAGGGGTCCCATGTTAGGATTCCACAACTGTCTTTGCAAGATTCCTCATGATGAGGGCCAATGGTCAATGAGGTGAAGTGAATTGCTTTGGAAGGGTATGTATGTGTGTTTATGCACATGCACACACATAGGATGATGGCAGCAAGTCATGTTTGAATAGTAGAACCAAACACAATTATTGACATTATCATCATGGAATAACGTGCCGAAACGATATATATTTCATTACAGCAAATGTTGCATTCATCATTTGTACATGTGACTCTGTGCCATACCCTGAGCTTTACTTCAGGGAATCAAAGACCTTATGTTATAACCGCTTCAAAGAAAAGGTTAACTTTTACAGTATTCAGATGCCACAGCTCCTCCTTGAAAACTAGGACCACGGCTTAATACTAAATGCGTAAGATGCTGTCTTATACTGAGTCACACTTTTGATCCATCTGGCCCAATGATGGTAGCTCAGGCTGACCATAATAGATCTTCAGGCCTTTATTTTTCTGTAGCCTTATTTAGGGATTCCTAATAGTTTTCCAAGAGATGAGCTATTGTGTTTCAGAGTGCTATGGTGATAGAGGCGGGAAGGGACTGCTGTAGATGGCAATTTCAAGAGAAGTCTATGTAAGGGCAGTAAGCTGTCAAATATTTAGTTTATATTATTATGTTTTTACCAACACTAAATTGTATGCTTCCTGCCATCTTTGATTAGAGCAGTAGTTGCCAACCTTTGGTTCTTCGGGTGTTTTGGACTGCAACTCCCAGAGATACCAGCCATCTTACCAGTTGTTAGGAATTATGGGAGCTGAAGTTCAAAACATCTGGAGGACCAAGTGTTGGGAACCACTGGATTAGAGTCTTCCAATACTTTTGGTTTTCATCGGCTTCTTTTCTCTAATCATAGTGCATGCTGAGGAACTATCTCATGCTACTTTGAAGCCTACTGTCTCCTAAGCTTGTAAGAGGGAGGAATGGTTATGGTCTTTGTGAAAACATGGATGTATATTAAGGTGGACAATTCACTTGGCTGAAAAAGATTCTGAACTGGCATCCTGCTACAGAAGACATTTTACCTATTTTATATAGATTGTAGCATAAAACTAGCCTGCAATGGAAGCAAATTTCTCCAGGAGTGTAAAAGTGTTTCTTTTAGAGGAAATATTAGATTCCAATTCCATTATTTGGGGTATTATTTACTGCTTTGCCCACCAATATTGTGGAAGGCTGAAAACTGAGAACCATTGGCAGTATTGCAAAGGTTGCTGGACTGATCATAAGTGAATGAAAGCATAAAGCAGTGGTTCCCCACCTGTGGGTCCCCTGATGTTTTGGCCTTCAACTCCCAGAAATCCTACCAGCTGGTAAACTGGCTGGTATTTCTGGGAGAAAATTCTGGAGCACCCTACAGTATTCTTCTTCTTGCAATTCTTTGCATAGCCAGGAATCACATCTGAAAGAGGGTATGGGCTCACAGTGACCTGTATCAGAGTCACAATCTGGGCATTGGGTTTTTTTTTGCTGCAGAACTGGGGCTCTCAGGTGTTGTAAGTGGGAGCAAAACCATTCAGGCCATGCTAACACTGGTTTTATAAGTGCTCTTTGTCACTGCTGGGGAACCTTTTTCTTCCTGGTTTGATGCCTGGCTATCATCTCCAAATTCATCATTTAAATGGACTAGGAATTATAGAGTTATAGGAATGTCAATCAAGAGAAAACTATATGAGTTTGTATACTAACCTACAGTTTAAAGAAAATGAAGCATAGTAGCAAGCAATACATTATTTGATTGGACATAGTATGGCATGTCAAAATAATATATTGTAGGGGACATGGTAGCGCAGTGGTTAAAACTACTAGCTGCAGGAAATCTGCTGACCAGAGGGTTAGCAGTTTGAAGTTGCGAGTCAGGATGAGCTCCTGGCTGTCAGCTCTAGCTTCTACCTATCTAGCAGTTCGAAAGCATGCAATGCGAGTAAATCAATAGGTACCACCTTGGCGGGGAGGTAAAAGGGCGCTCTATGCAGACATGCTGGCAACGACTGGAGAAAGTCTATGGACAACAGGCTCCTCGGCATGGAACAAGAGCACCTCCCCATGGCAGTTGAGCATCACCTCCAGACACTGGAGATGGAAAGGGAAAGGCCTTTACCTCTGTCTATATGTGTACTGTATGTTGTTTGCCTTATATTTATAAACTGTAATCCACTCTGAGTCCCTTCGAGGCAATAAAACTGAATTATTGTTATTATTATTATTACTTTAGCCCACTAACAGATCTCATTGATCTCAGTATTCCGGCTTAATAAGGAGCTAGATTTCAGTTTAGCACCCTAATCTTATAGTTATGCACAACTGTGATGAATCAGAAAATGGGTCACCTGGAGAATGCTTTTGCTGGCTGGGTAAAAATAACACACTGGCTAGGTCTACTGCCCACATATTCTCATAGTGCCCAGAAGATTTAAAGCCTTTGTTTCTTTTCTTTCTTTTCTTTCACACTAAATGTTTTTATCTGCTGTTTTCCAGATGTGTTACTATGTAATTCCAGACAGTGTATGATCATACTCACTTGATGAAGTATTTGATTCCATCTGCTGTATAGGCTTCTTCCCATCCATAAGGCAGACCTAAATGGATTCAAGATAGAGACAGAGATGAAAAACAGAAAAAAAACATACACTATGAATAATTTTAAACACAATGTTCTGTTTTGAAATAGCATCTACTAAAAATGTGTGCATCAAATTTTCTAAAACCTGGAGCATAAACAAGTACAAACTGTTTCAACAATGCTGTAGAAAGTGAATATTCAACCCAGAAAGTCTCCAATCTGATTAGCAGACAGATCACAAAAATGAAGGGGTTTAGCACATGACATCAACTGTGGATCCTAATGTGAATTCATCATTACTCTTCAGACAAGTGTCACCTCTATCAAAATTTTCACTTTTTATTTACTCACCATAAAACTAACTTTAACCCTTTACAGACATGCCTCCTTTGTGGTAACTGCATTTATAAGCAGCTATAACTGCCATTGTGTCAATAAAATATCTGATTTCATCAAGCAGCTATCAGCATATACTGATAGTAGTGTGAATTCTGAGAGCTATCCAATCAGTAAACAGCTAGGCAGCATATAAAGGTGTGTTATACAAAAGAGTGGCAACTAAATACTGAAAAAGTAGACACCTGCTGAATGCAGTAACAAATATTGTAGAAGTCTCTTGAAAAATAAAAGCCTTGTTCCCCAAATTATCACACATATATAGCTTTAAGAGAAAAGGGGGGGGGGTGAGGACTACACTGAGAAATGTAGTGAAGGAATGAGAAATCTAAGTATTTCCCATTAAATATTACTTTCAAAATCATGTTTATAGAATATTTTGGCAATAGTTATAAGTATGTTGGTGAGCCACAGTGTCTAAACACTTGTTCTACAAATCATGAAAACTTTAGTTTGAAGAACCAGAGTGAGCTTGCCACAAACTCACGGTAAAAATCCACAATCTCCCATTCTCAGCATTCCATTATCCTTATAGGTTTCTATAAAGACTGCAAAATATAAAGTACTTTGAATGATGGCAGGACTATTAAAAAATAGCACGTGGAGCCAGCAAAAGGAGCCAGTCAAGGGAGTTAGGGGGTCTCCTTGTAGAGTCATGTGCATTGGTATGTGCCTAATGATGCTAATCTTTAGTGCCAGTCCTACTCCAAGAGCCAGCATGCCTTATTCAGTAGGTTTGCTTTGTAGACGATCTCTAAATTCCTCCTATCCAGAATGTGATTTTCCACACCCAGTTTTGAAATGGTTTCACATGCAGTTCTCATGCTGTATGCAGACCTTGACTTTTCATCAGCCTGCTATTCAATTGGCAAGTGCAACCTTTGCAGACAAGAATGCTGGCGGCTGATGCAAAGCTTGTTGCCAGAAAATAGTGCTCTTCCCCCTGTTTTTGCTTTCTGCCTGCTCTGTGGAAACGGCCCTGAAAGCCTCTGCAGGCTTTTAATGTGTGCACTGTGCAGACTATTTCTGAAACACACAAAACTAAACATTTCAAGGGCACAGTTTAATTTGCAGATCTTTGCATCAATGCTAATTTGAAAATAAATTCCTGCATAATGTATTCCAGCCTTGATTGAATTTCTGTCTGGAGAAAAAAGCTGGATTTCACTGGGCAACTGCCATGGGCTATAAATAAATAGTAATGCAAGTGTTTTCAAGGTAATTAGCTGGATGTGTGTGAAATGACTAAAACACAGGTATAACCAAATTTATGTATCTCCACCTTCTTTGTGCAAGGAAGATATCCAGCTGTAAGATTAAACAAGAAGTAGAAAACAAAAGTCTAAAACTGCTGGAGCATAGATAAAAGCAAAACAAAGTAACGTAAATATTTAGCTTTGGTCAGAACCATCTCTTTGAAAAAGTGCTGCAACCGGTCACTTCCCTGCAAAAGGCTGCTTCCCAGTTCTATCTCACCTCCAGATCCTGGCATAGCATTCTCTGTGGAAGTGAATGGCACAATCTGAGGCAAGCTAAGAATGGTTATGACCTGCTCCAGAAAGCCATGCTAGTAGCATTTTGTGACCTGAAAGTAAGTTGCACTGAAAACAATGAGACTTGCTTTGTATGGGATTTTAATACTTGTAGGATTACACTGCTATAAATCTAGTTCAGTGCCTTCATTCTTTAAGAGATAGGTGACTGAATTCCCACTGATTCTTTAGTTTTAGTTTTCATTGCATTTTGTTTTATCTCTTCTGTTGCATGTTGACGTGGATTCTAAAGGAGTGTGTGTGTTACGGTTTTCTGATGTTGTTTTCCATCTTATTACTAAAAAATGGTTGTATCAATTGGCCAGTGCCTTTTCAGTTACAAAAACAAGCTGAGGTACAGTAAAGGAAACATGCCCTTTGTGGTTTAAGCCTTCAAGTAGAATGAATATCCTAATACTTCTTATTCACTGTGGATATTCTTGACTGTATTGGCTGTAGACGAAGGGCTAATGAAACGCTGTAGTGCAATGGTTTGAACAACTGGACTATGACTCTGGAGGCTTGGGTTCAAATCCCCGATAGCCACATAAACCCACTAGGTGACCTTAGGCAAATCATACCTCTCAGTCTAAAAGACAAACAAGCTCTGCAGAGATCTTATCAGGAAAGCACCATGTTTGATTCATCTTGGGGTCACCATAAACTGAAAATGACTTGAAGGTACACAGCAGCAATAACAACAAATGCTACTACTGGGAGAGGCTGTCACTGCAGTAGTTTTAAAAGGTGTTTCCTCTCCAAAATCCTTTGGAATTCTCCAGATGCTTAAAAAGTACTTCCTTAAGAGCAAACCAGCTTCCAGCTTCCAAATGGAAATGGAAGCAGCCTCCTCCTGCTTCTCCTTCCAAGGTAGATGCCGCCTTGAGGGGAACGTATGTGGAAAAGGGAAAGGAAAGCAAGGAAGGAGGGAGGTGGCACTGCTGAGGAGAGAGAGAGGAGGAGTCTCCAGAAGGTGCAGGGAAGAGGGGAGGGAAGGATGGGAAATGGGGGGGGGGGGGGGAGGAGAGGTCTGACCCCACAACGTCTGAGGATGCCTGCCATAGATGCAAGCGAAACGTCAGGAGAGAATGCTTCTGGAACATGACCATAGAGAGCAAAAAAGTTACAGCAACCCACAGATTCCTGTATAATCAGTTATAATATTTTCCTGGCATTGAGGTTGAGCTGACTAGCCTATAGTTTCTTGGAACTTATTGTCTTATCGTTGCTATGGGGTTAGATACCTGCTCCAGGCCTGGAGACCTGTTCAAGGTAATCCCAGGTTTCCAGATTCAGGTTGTATTTCTGGTTTTTGTCATGCAGAACAGCATAAAATTTGAAAACTCCCTGTCAAAATGATTCTAAAATGCCCTTTATAATTAACTTTTGAGTTAACTGGAATCATTACTGATTACACCACTGAAGGAAATTCATTTTTTCTTGTTACATAACTTTGGGAACGTGACCTTATTACACCCCCAAACAGAGAAGTTAATAAAGAGCTACAAACTGCACATGTTAGTGAAAGTATACAATGTCTGTAATGCTGCAACATAATGAGAAAAGTGGGGGCTTCCACCAGTTACTTTCTCAGTGTCAGCCTCTGACCCATTTTAATAAAGAGAGGAACTCAACTGAGAAGGTCAATAGCCAGCCAGGGACAATGGAATCAATAGTAACACAAGCCAGGAAGGGATAAATGTAGATTTCCAACAGGAAGCATCCACTGATAGAAACAATCTGCAGCAGACATACATTGAAGCAAGTGGGTAAATGGAACAAGAATAGAAGGTCTTTTATGAAGATGGGCTTCTGGCACAGGAGGGGTTGCACCTCATAGAAGTTGGCAGGAATGTTTTTCTGAGAAACTCGCAAACCTGATCAGGTGGATGTTAAACTGGGTTGTGTTGGGGAGGGTAATAGTATTCCTGGGGACAGTATTTTATCAAGGTCCAAAGATAACAGCCTAAACGTAACATATCTTGATTCCAGTAAGGCCTTTGACAAGGGCCCCCTTAAATGTCTTGGGGGAAAAAAAAACTAGTAAAATGTGGGCTAGACGGCAATGCTACTGTGAGTTAAGCAACCAAACCCAAAGAGTACTCACCAATGGTTCCACACTATCATTCATCTCACATTCCAAGGATGTAAGAGCAGGATACATACAGTATGATGGGATCAGGTTGTGTGTTATAAGAATGGAGAAAGACATACATAGTTGTTTCTAGGGTCTAGCTCTAACCTGTACCACTAACACATCAGGCATTATGGCATTCACATGCTTGGTTTTGGTTATCAGGTTATCAGCTTGCTTGCTTGTTTTTAAAGTACCTTCAGCCATACTTTTTACTTCAATTTAAACATGGCTTTCACAGAGAAGAGGGAGGAGACTTCTGCTGCCCAGATGGCAGGACCAGGTCTAATGGTTTTGAAGTTACAGGAAAGTAGATTTCAACTGAATATTAAAAGAAACTTCTTAACAACGAGAGTAGTTTAACAATGGATCCATTTTCCTTAAGTCCCCTTGTGGGGAGAAGAGCGGGATAGAAATGTACGGAATAAATAAATAAATAAATTGAGAGGTTGAAGGCCTCCTTTCCTGGATCTTCAAAAAAGCATCTGGACCTGCTGAGGATGATTTAGATGAACATCCTGTACTGAGCAGGGGGTTGGCCTCAATGGCCCACAAAACCCTTTTGAACTCTATGGTTCTATGACTCTAAAGTTTAAAGAACTCCATACAAACATTATTAAGGCTAATGGGATACTAAGAATACAGTTCTACACTTGTCACAGTGTGGAAGCAGATATTATTGGTTTCACAGAAAGCATTCTGACCTGTTCCTTTTGTCCAATTTTCATTAAATAATTTTAAACAGCACTAGCTAAGCCATTGATCTGTTTCTGCAACTGTATCTTATTGTTTTTTCTTCCTTCCCCTTACAATGTGCATGATTGAACATCCTGAGGAAACACTGCTTCCCATGAGTTCAACCACCAATGAAGTTTGGCCAGCAAAGTTTTAAAGGGAGATGTATTTTGCTAGATGTGGGGAATAGGGCCTTCTCTGATGTGTCCACATCCCTCT